GGGGCATTTCATGACGACGGGATATATTACCCGTATGCTGGTAAGCGTCACATGAAGAAACAAACCTGTGGACATCTTTGAAGGGAGTAGGCCAATAGAAACCGGCCTGAAGGATTTTTGCTGCAGTTTTGGATGTAGCAAAGTGGCCTGCGTAGTCAGAAGAATGACAATGGGAAATAACACAGAAAATCTCACCTTCAAGAATGCATCGGCGGAATAGACCGTTGGTTCCTCTCTTGAAGAGGAAAGGGTCGTCCCAGAAATAGTTCCTGACATCGTGGAGAAATTTCTTCCTGGCATTGTAACTTAGATCTGGTGTAAGAATTGTACTTACCAGGTAATTGACGTAATCAGCATACCACGGGGCCTCTGGAAGAGTAGAGATGGCGAAGACGTGCTCATCGCGAAGATTGTCATCAATGGAAAGTTGCTCGGGAAGTTCAAGGCGTGACAAGTGATCAGCTACTCCGTTCTCGGCTCCTTTCTTGTCCCGGATCTCAAGGTCAAACTCTTGAAGAAGCAATATCCAACGGATGAGGCGCGGTTTAGCATCCTTCTTGGAGAGTAAGTATCGCAAGGCGGCGTGATCGGTGTAGACTATGACTTTGGAACCGACAAGGTAGGACCTGAATTTTTCGAATGCAAAGACAACGGCAAGCAGTTCTTTCTCAGTCGTAGTGTAGTTTACCTGAGCATCATCCAAAGTTCTGCTGGCATAGTAGATCGCATGAAGAACTTTATTCCGGCGTTGTCCAAGATCGCGATACAAAAGGATCATCAGTCGGAATCATCACTGGCTTTCGTATGATCACAAACAAAACTCTATTCGAGATAGGTAGTCATAGTGTCTTGCTAGAGACCGCCTATGACTTGTATTATCGGAATGGAGATTCTGCGTTTTACTGCTATTTCGGATGAGCCTACAGGGTCACACACAATAGGGATGGACAAGTACGTGTGCCGTCGTCGGGTACAAGGCATGGCTCTCCTTGAGGCAGTGATTGATCCGTGTCATCGGGAGAGGTGAGGTCTGTGGCCTGTGGGTTCTCGGTAGCTTGCTCTTCGGCAGCTCGAGCCC